AACAACCACGTTGCACTTATAAACCACAGCGGTCTGACCTTACGTGCTTCTGGCCCTTGGGGCAGATCCTGTGATGTAAAGAGCGTTAATGAATGTTAACTCTAGTGACAATACATTTAACGGTGCATGCTCTCAGAGGCACCTCATCCAGGAAAGAATCCATTAAATACAGAGGTGTTTTAACTGCATTAGCTGGGCAGACAGAAAAGTGTTTAGAACACAGGCCTTGGAGAGCAGGGAAATCATTCTCCCTTTCCAAGAGAAGCCAGGGTTAACTGTACCATGAGTGCATCCTTATTATATATTATGATTTGTATTACAGTAGCACTTAGAGCACTCTACTGCAATTGTGCTAAGTCAATGGAAAATTTTGTATATGACAAGATTGCCCTAAAAGTCTATTTATTTAGCATTAAAGCAATGTGTCTCATTAAGGGATATTTAGAAAATGCCATGTTATGTTTGCTGGACTCTAAATTAGCTCCATAGGAAGTTATTACATGGCTTTAAAAATTTCAGCCCATTTAAAGTATACTTGGCCACTTGACATGAATCAGTCTTGTAAACTGGTCATGGAAAAAGTACCATCTCAGACACAAAACCCACTCCCCACCTGTACCATGACAGTGAGAAATCTAATGGTATTTTACTCACCCACCAAAAAAATTTATTCACTTCAGTCAAGGGTGTGTGTGGGCTTTTGATAGGGTAACTATGCTTCGGTGTAGGAGACGTTGACCATAAAAACGTCAAGAATGCCAACCCAGTGGGGCATGACTACGGGATGCAGTATACAGCAGCAGGCCACCATTGTCTATATTACCTGCTGATTGAAAAGGAAAGATGAAGGGCACTGGACATTAAAGTGCCATTCAAAATACTGAGATGGTCAAGGAACATAGTTCTTGAGACACGATTTTATCAGTTGAACTGTACTGATGAAAAATACAGGGGGAATTCTGATCTCATTTACATTTGTGCAAATCTAGAGGAATCGCTCGATATCCTCTAGATGTTCACCAATGGAAAGGAGAGCAGAGTTGAGTCCTTGATCAATTACTCAGGCACTATGGTGATCTGGTTTGTACTGCCACCTATGATAGTACTGTGCTTGGTAATAAAGAGCTTTCTGTCAAGTTCCCATTGAAATCAATGGCAAAACTCTCATTCTCCTGTTCACTTCAATGGGAGCAGGATCTAACGTAAAGAATCTAAAGCATAAGCTTCTCTTACCTACAGGAGGTTAAGTTTCATTTCTTCTTGCTGGTCTATTTTGAAAACCCGAAGTGATCAGATTAAACAAACTTTTTTTTTTTTTTTTTTTTTCAGACTAGCTCCCATGGAGTTGTGGAAATCCCTAAAAATTCAATTTTCAGTTGAAAACCACACATTTATACCTGCTGTAATTCTGCAAGTAGGTGTATTTTGTTATTGAGTGCTAACTGTGCGTTATGTGTAAGGATGTGGTTTGAGACCCTGCTAATCATATTCAGCTTGACTTCCTGGCTAAGTCACACAAAGATGCTATTCTTCTTGTTAAATGCTACCGGAGTTAGAGTGTGATTTTTAGAAACATCGATGACTCAGACGTGGCTCCCACAGGTGTAGGATTTCCACACGCACTTGGTTAAAAGGCCTGTGGTCATGATAGACCAAAAAGGGTTACCACTACTCACCAACTTTCTGAAAACCCTGTAGGAAACATTCACTTTCACCCTACTGCACTTTCCCAATATATTGTTTTTTAAAAAATAACTGCTTTGTAACATTCACTATAATTTGCATCTCTTTGACAAATAAAAGGGAGGATGCTGTCTATGATTCTCTGTATTACTCAGATTTACTAGAATGGAAGTTACAGAGGCTGAGGGAACTGGGATTGTTTAGTCTCCAGAAGAGAAGAATGAGGGTGGATTTGATAGCTGCTTTTAACTACCCGAGGGGGGGTTCCAAAGAGGATAGAGCTCAGCTGTTCTCAGTGGTGGCAGATGACAGAACAAGGAGTAATGGTCTCAAGTTGCAGTGGGGGAGGTCTAGGTTGGATATTAGGAAACACTATTTCACTAGGAGGGTGGTGAAGCACTGGAATGCGTTACCTAGGGAGGTGGTGGAATCTCCTTCCTTAGAGGTTTTTAAGGCCCGGCTTGACAAAGCCCTGGCTGGGATGATTTAGTTGGGAATTGGTCCTGCTTTGAGCAGGTGGTTGGACTAGATGACCTCCTGAGGTCCCTTCCAACCCTGATATTCTATGATTCTATGATTTTCTTGTATTCTGGCTTACTTAGTCTCCTCTCACTGCACACACACAGCTGTTTTTAGCATTCGTGGGATTTATCAAATGCTGCATAAGAAAGAAGAGACCCTTGGGAGAAAACTGTTACAAGGTAGTTTAGTTCACTAAGGATCATGGACCTGGTACTACTAAGTAACTCGTTTTACGCTGGGGTGTATCACAGTTGATGATGACTAACATGTAACATATTAAAATCAATTATTGATCATTTAACTAGAAATGTTGTTGAAACAAGCACAAGAGAAAAGAGGTTTTAGCTTTAACTGGCATGACAGAATTTCTAATGAATAAAAAAAATATATAAGTGGCTTGGACAACTGCAACTTGCAGTAAAAAGTCATTGTTCTAGAATTTGGTGGTAATCAGTGGTTTGTGGGGAAAAGAGAATCAGATAATACTGTGGAAATTCATCAAGAGATACATTATTTCTAATCAGCCTCGATCAGCAGGGACCAAAAGTCATTACCATGTAATAACTGATTAGGAGCCTATGTGAAATGAGTCAGTGAGTCTCAGTCCAAGTTTGTCATGATCAAGTCTCCACATCACAAAAAACACAGTCCCACAACTGGTCCCTGGGCTGGCAGAGGGGCCAAGGACTGAATAGACAAGGAGGGTGATGAATTCTACTGACTTTAGTGTCAAAACTTCCAGGTTGAGACACATTGGTGGAACCCACGTTATAACTGCCCTGTAGAGAAATGAAGGACTCCAGTTAAAGTGTGTGTGTGAAATTGATTAAAAATAAACAGGATAAACAAGATTATTGAGAACACTTATTTTCCTGCTTGTTTTTGGTTAGTGGGCAAATCAGCTAGTTACAAACAAGTGCAAAGTTACAGCCACAATACTGAAGGCCAGGCAAAAATTCAGGTCTTTCAGGTTTCTATTGTGGCATGTCTCTTGGATTAGGCATCAGTCAGTAAAATCCAGTTGGATGCTGTTGCAGGTTCAGCAATGCCTGGTATCAGCAGGCTACTCTGTGGTCCACCTACCTTGTACAGAAGAAAGTGGAAAGATAGCTGTGATATCATCCCATTTGTAATGCATGACTCAGCTAGCTGTGGAGATGAGTTCAGTTGAGTATTCAGTATTGTTCAATTTCAGATGCTCTTTTACTCCAGTTAGTACATTCCAGTCTAGCTTCTGGCTCTTCTAGAGGCCATAGTGGTCAGGCCATGCAAGATCTCTTGCTGGGTTTAAATGAGAGTCTGACCAAACTGGCCGGCTGACCGGATTTCCCAGCAGATTTTTATATGACCAATCAAAGGTTGCTTTGGCAATTAAAAGAGGTTGCTGGATGTCTGGAACAGCTTGCAGTGGTTCTAGCAGTAGAGTCAGTTGACAGTGATGGACAATTGTGTGTCTTCGGAGAGGAATTGGATAGGTGAGGTCCCTCACGGATCTGTCCCATCGCCACTGTTCAACATACAGAAGGATGACTTCTAAACACTATGGACCAGATCCTCAGCTAGTATGAACTGGAGTAGTTCCATTGACTTTCATGGAGCTACACTGATTTACACAAGCTGAGAAATGGGCCCTGTTGCCCTGGATTTGAGGGGTGTATATACCCCAGAATGTGATCAAGCCAATTGCAACCATATTATGTGCACTCAGCAACTATACATTCATAAAATAAAACACCACATCATTTAAAAACAGGCTTTCAAAAGCAAGGTCATAGTTTTCACTATTTCCCCATGCTAATTTTTCCCCCTACTGTTACTCACACCTTGTCAACTATTGGAAATAGGCCATCCTGATTATCACTACAAAAGTTTTTTTTCTCCTGCTGATGATAGCCCACCTTAATTGATTAGTCTTGTTATAGCTGGTATGGCAACACCCATTTTTTCATGTTCTCTGTGTATATATATCTTCCTACTGTATTTTGCACTGCATGCATCCGATGAAGTGGGTTTTAGCCCACGAAAACTTATGCCCAAATAAATTTGTTAGTCTCTAAGGTGCCACAAGGACTCCTCGTTCTTTTTGCTGATACAGACTAAAACGGCTACCACTCTGAAACCTATCCTAGTTCTGGTTCTTAGACTGTGCTCATCACCATGGTATCTGAGCAGTTAAGGCAGTGGAATCTTTGCTGTGGTGGGTCCTTGGTTCTCATCTTCATTGCTATCCATCCTAGTCTCTCTTGCTCCCCACCATGACTATAAAGTGATTTAAAACCTTTTCCCCAGAGGTTTTTTTTAAATCAGTATGACCAGGACTGACCTCAACTATTACATTCCTCCCATTCCTCTATTATCTATTCATAGATTCCAGCACCAGAAGGAACCATTGTGATCATCCTAGACTGACCTGTATAACACAGGCCAGAGAACTTCCCTGAATTAATGTTAAGCATTGACAATGCACTCAGGGCTGTACAAGATAAAAAATATAGATTCCTTACCCCAAAGAGCACAGAAACCACGTTCTATTGCTTTGGATCTTCTTACATTTGATTTGAATTGTAACCAAGGAGGCTTTTCATTATAGTAATGTTTTAAGTGTACTGTATTTCAAAATGGTTTACATCACACAACAGCCTAAGCCTCTTGGTATGAGGTGGGCTGATGCTTTAGAAATAAATTGATCATATAACTATAGCAACACTATTTGCAAAGTCAGAAGAAATTACTCAGTGGCATAAAATGTCTAGATAGTTTATTTCCACAGATAATAACAAACCAGAACTATTCTCCAGAAATGGCAGATTTGATGCAGTTAGGTACAAACACCGAACCATCTGACTTGTGCTGCTTGCAGACACTGGCAGCTTAGAGAGATCATCCTGAAATACTGCAACTGATGCTGGGGGCCACATTAGAGAGTGAGAGGGAACAGTCAGTGTGGGAATGAAACCCAGAGAAGCTGCCCAGGAGAGATCACTGGTCCTCAGCTTCAGAGCATCCAACAAGTATCTCTAATCTACAGTGCTGTGAGAGTAACTTTGCTTACTATCTCTATTCAATAAAAGGTTTAAAACCAGAAGAGAGATATACCGTATGTAAAAATAGAAATATGTACACTGTCTAGAGAGTTAAATATGAAGAGAAAAGATTAGACATTTCTAAAAGAATGCATAAGGTGTGTTATAATCCAAATCAGCACATTCTAAAATGTCCTATATGCCACAGCAGCTATCAGTTCCTGCCTGCTGGAAGCAGCTGCACTGGCTCACTGACCTTCCTCTTCTTCCTTGGCTTCATCTCCTCTTCCTGGCTAAATGCAAGGTCCAGGCTGTATGTCTGCAAGAACCACCAGAGAAGGTCATGCTCATAGCACAGACTGCCGGGTGGTTTCTAAGCAAAATATGAGACAAGAAAGCCAAACTTCAAAACCCACATCTTACTTCAGGGATCCTTTTGGTTTGGCTAGTTCAGCCTTGCTCTCTAGAAAGGAAATCAGGCAGGGAATCAAAACTAGGGTCCTGAACAATCTGGACTGGTCGCTTTGTTAAGGCAGGAGGCTCAGCCTCACAGAGCGGGAGCACATCTGGCAGCTACTAGGAGCAGCATCCATTCCTCACTGCTGAAAGAGAAATCTTTGGGGAGCTGATTAGTGTTTGGGGGGTAAAAAACTCTCGTCACCAAATTCATCTAGCCATTCAAACAAAGAGCAGAAGGATGGTGTTCTTTATGTCTGCATGTACTAAACAAAAGGCAGCTGGAAACTGGTTCTTGGCAGGAGACATAGGGTATGTCTACATTGCAATTAAACACCTGGCGGCTAGCCCGTGTCAGCTGACTCGGGCTCATGGGACTCAGGCTGCAGGGCTATTAAACTTCAGTGTAGACATTTAGGAGTACGGTGCCGATACCTAGATACCAAACATACTGGAATCAAAATACCATGGTGATTGGTGTAGACAGACAGACAGACCAAAAACTTCCTTACTCGTTTTCAGTTGCACTAAACACTTCAGTTGTACTTTTCAAAATAATGATCTCGCATTGCACTCAAAGCTGCTTATGTCATTGTCCCTTATTGCAGATGTAAAGTGCAATCTTTGGTAATCTAGCCCTTACTGCTAGGAACGGAAGGGATGCTCCCAATACAACACATATTCAAGGCCACTAGTTGGCATGATGTGGTCATTGCAGAATTTCTCAGTTATATCATCAAGACTTTCTATAGCCCATGTGGCTTTGGAATGGGGATTCGTAACATATAGGTATCTATGGTCTTTCAAACATGTGAAATACACAGATTACAGGTAGCATGAAAATAGTCCAAACTTTCCCCCATTCCATGATTCAATCTGTGTTTTTAACTTGTTTCTTTCCTCCTCTTCATTACCTACCAAAGCAGAGACACACTTGCTAACAACTTCCTTTCTTAATTCAAAAATGGAAAAAAACAGAACCACAAAGTGAGGCAGGCATGCTCTAGGCCAGCAAAACTCCCACTGAAATCAAAAGGAAGTTTTTGCATAAGAAAGGAGCAATGATAGGGTTGCCAAGTTTGGTTGGACGTATTCCTGGAGGTTTCATCAAATGACATAATCTTTAATTTCTGGAGACTCCAGGACAATCCTGGAGGGTTGGCAACCCTAAGCAATGAACAGATCTCTAGGTCAGAGCCCCCAAGCTGAGAATGGCTGCTCAAATGGGCACTTCAAGCAGGTATTTATGCTACACCCCATGGAATCGCTTTGTCCCATCTGCTTCCTTATCCCACACAAAGGGCGCACAGAGGGAAACTATCGGGTCAGTACATTCTCCCACTGGCCAGATGATGAATCAAAGGCCAGATTTCCAGTTAGCGGTGTAGGGAGACCTTCCTTCTGTGCTGCTCTCGCCATGGCAGGAATAGCAGTCAAATCACTGCTGACTGGTAGATCACAAGTATGTTGTATTCCCTTCAGCAGAACCACAAAGCATTCAGGGAAAGTCAAGTTACTTCACCCAACATTAACTCTCTGCAGATCTGCGCATCTTCTTGTGAGTCCTGAGGCAGAGCAAGTTGGTTAGTGAAACTCTTCCCTCTTCTCTGATCCCACCTAGATTTCCCACATGGCCTGGACTATTTTTAGGTGGAAGAAAATGGCCATGGAGAGGAGTGTCCATGGGAGAATCCCAATGACTCCATGCAGCTAATTTTATCTCTACAGAGTGGTATCTCTACTGGTAGTGCAGCTTTGTTCCCCTTCACAATAGATAGCACGAGCAGCATAAGGATCTGAGTATGGAACTATAAAGATCTTTGCAACACCCCTAAAGACAGACAAGTATTAACCCCACCCTTTGAAAAGTGGAAATTAAATCCTAGGGAGGAAAATAGAAAGGAGCATAAACTCTGGATAATGAAGTGTAAAAATACAATTAGGAAGGCCAAAAAAGAATTTGAAAAACAGTTAGCCAAAGACTCAAAAAGTAATAGCAAAAATTTTTTTAAATACATCAGAAGCAGGAAGCCTGCTAAACAACCAGTGGGGCCACTGGACGATCAAGATGCTAAAGGAGCACTCAAGAACAATAAGGCCATTGTGGAGAAACTAAATGAATTCTTTGCATTGGTCTTCATGGCTGAGGATGTGAGGGAGATTCCCAAACCTGAGCCTTTTTTTTAGGTGACAAATCTGAGGAACTGTCCCAGATTGAGGTGTCATTAGAGACGGTTTTGGAACAAACTGATAAATTAAACAGTAATAAGTCACCAAGACCAGACGGTATCACCCAAGAGTTCTGAAGGAACTCAAATGTGAACTTGCAGAACTACTAACTGTAGGCTGTAACCTATCATTTAAATCAGCTTCTGTACCAAATGACTGAAGGATAGCTAATGTGACGCCAATTTTTAAAAAGGGATTCAGAGGTGATCCCGGTAATTACAGGCCGGTAAGCCTGACTTCAGTAAAGGGCAAACTGATTGAAACTATAGTAAAGAACAAAACTGTCAGACACAGAGATGAACATAATTTGTTGGGGAAGAGTCATCATAGTTTTATTAAAGGGAAATCATTGCCTCACCAATCCGCTAGAATTCTTTGAGGGGGTCAACAAACATGTGGACAAGGGGGATCCAGTGGATATATTGTACTTAGATTTTCAGAAAGCCTTTGACAAGGTCCCTCACCAAAGGCTCTTAAGCAAAGTAAGCGGTCATGGGATAAGAGGAAAGGTGCTCTCATGGATTGGTAACTGGTTAAAAGATAGGAAGCAAAGGGTAGGAATAAATGGTCAGTTTTCAGAACGGAGAGAGGTACATAGTGGTGTCCCCTGGGGGTCTGTACTGGGACCAATTCCATTCAACATATTCATAAATGATCTGGAAAAAGGGGTAAACAGTGAGGTGACAAAATCTGCAGATGATACAAACCTACTCAAGATAGGTAAGTCCCAGGCAGACTGCGAAGAATTACAAAAGGATCTCTCAAAACTAGGTGACCGGGCAACAAAATGGCAGATGAAATTCAATGTTGATAAACGCAAAGTAATGCACATTGGAAAACATAATCCCAACTATACATATAAAATGATGGGGTATGAATTAGCTGTTATCACTCAAGAAAGAGATCTTGGAGTCATTGTGGATAGTTCTCTGAAAACATCCACTCAATGTGCAGCGTCAGTCAAAAAAGCGAACAGAATGTTGGGCATCATTAAGAAAGGGATAGATAATAGGACAGAAAATATCCTATTGCCTCTATATAAATCCATGGTACACCTACATCTTGAATACTGCGTGCAGATGTGGTAGCCCCATCTCACAAAAGATATATTGGAATTAGAAAAGGTTCAGAAAAAGGCAATGTTATTATTTGTATTACAGCAGCTCACAGAGGTCCCAAGCTTGGTCCCACTGTGCTAGGTTCTGTACAAACTGACGAGTGAGAGACTGTCCCTGCCCCCGCCCCCATAAACTTACAATAGAAATAGACAAGACAGAAAATAGGTGGAAAGGGAAAGTCTTGCCCAATTTCAGCAGCAGAGCTAGGACAGAACAGAGGTCTCTAGACTCTTAGTCCAGAGCCTTATCTACTAGATCACACCACCTCCTTGGATGTAAGCAAAGGCACTACTACAGGGGTCTGCAACCTTTCAGAAGTGGTGTGCCGAGTCTTCATTTATTCACTCTAATTTAAGGTTTCGCGTGCCGGTAATACATTTCAATGTTTTTAGAAGGTCTCTCTATAAGTCTATATTATATAACTAAACTATTGTTGTATGTAAAGTAAACAAGGTTTTTAAAATGTTTAAGAAGCTTCATTTAAAATTAAAATGCAGATCAGTTTAGTGCAGTGGTTCTTAACCTGGGGTGCACGCACCCCCTGGGGATGTGAGATGCCCTTTCTGGGGGTGCGAGACATACGAGATTTTTTTAGAAGGTAAATCATCGAAAAAACAAATTAAGCACAGGCACATAAGTACAACTACTTTGTATATTACAGTAATCGTTAAAACATGTATAATATTAATAAATACATAGGTTTGATGAAACAAACAACGTTTTTAAGTTTTCAAGTTTTTAATTGTAGTAATTTTTGATAAGGGCTCCAGAACGCTGGGACCATGCCAGGAGCAGAGCCCTGGGCTGGCTGCTGGTACCCCAGGCCAGCAGCGGGCTGAGCGGGGCCGGTGGCTGAGACCCCGGCTGGCAGCAGCGTGCCAGTAAAAATTGCCTCGTGTGCTGCCTTTGGCATGTGTGCAGCAGGTTGCCAACCCCTGCACTACTATGTACTGACCTGCAGAATACAATGCATTTCAGCACTGTACTGCGTGACAAGGTGCAATATTTCTTAGTGGAATTTTTTTGCATAGAACTGCAGCTAAAATATGAATCATGCCATTACTAACTTCAGGCATAAAATAGGGCAGCTAGATGAAGTCTGGGAAAAGGTATTATGTTAAAAATAGACCCAGATTAAAGCCCTCTTAAAGCCTGGGTGGGGGGGGAGGGTCTGGCAGCCAAGTAGCTGTGATCTGAACTACCATGCAGCGTCATCCCCAGCAACACACTGCAAAATGAGGGTCCAGTTCTCTTCTACACCATTTCCTATGAACAGGTAGCATTATGCCATCTTTGCCCCCCTCATAGTCTAGAGTAGTCACAGACCTGCCAAGCCCTCAGTATAAATTAAAGCAAACCTAGGGCTCCTCTAATTTATTTTCTGCTTCCCATAGTGGATTATGGAAAGGAGAAAATAGCTAGAGAACAGCAGCATCAGCCACACCCCCTCTTTTCCCTGGCCTGCCTGCATGGTAGGGGCTGAGAGTGGGGCTGGCGCAGAGCCACCCTGATGTTT